CTCTTTTCTTCTTCTGATTACACAGCTTAAAATGATGCAAAATCTCCCCTCATTTATAAGAATGTTCTTAAGTGACTGAGGAAGAAGACAACATACCAAAACAGTAATACTATAATCTCATAGTCATTATGCATGTAAGAAGGTATGCTGGATCTACACCTCCCCAGAAAAGGGAAGAGATATCCCAGATAATTATGCCCCAGAATTTCTCACTGAAAAATAGCATGCTCTTCCAGGAAAGAAAACAGGACTCTGTGCAGCAGTTGCTTTCTGCAGAAACACAATTGCTTCCTTCACAGAGATACTTTCTTCCACATAATTTGCATCAGCCAATTATGAAAAAACATTTGCTAAGAATCATAAAACATTAGGTATACATGATAAAACCGAAGATGGTATTGGAAGGCTCCAAAGGAGGGCAGTAACTGGCTGGCCTTCATATGCTGGGTGTGCTTAAGGATGCTTTTCAAACTCAAACCAAGTAGTTGTCTACTAACTAACTGTGTGCTTCACAGAGCTCTCACTGTGTTAAATTCCCTAGCTAGAAATTAAATGAGTGCTCCTATTTGCTCTTGTGTGACTCCATAATGGGTTTCACCCCTTGTAGAACTTAAGTCTGCTAATTAACAGAAGTTCATTTCTTCTCAAATCCAGGGCACAAGATTTTCTTAATTTTTATCCTGGGCATTATCCTGCTAATACTTCCGAGTAAATTTGAGAAAATCTAATGGGGTTCTACAGTTTGTTGAGTACCTGTGCCATATGCCTTAGACACTACAAGTCTGAGTGGCTCTAGAGGAGTCTGGATATCTGAAGCAATACATTAAAATAGCACGTATCTTTGTAGTGTTCCACTGTATACTATAATTATTATGTCTTCTCTTTAGTAAATGCACTAATGTTGGATACACACTTAAAACTGCCTCCAAATTAACACTGAGGTCCTCGGCTGGCATAAGTGAAATGTACAGGAATATATATTTCTCAGCATGTTAATTAAAATGTACTCTGAGAGGCAAAGACAGGCTAGATTTTTTTTAGAAAACATTAATGCTGTCTGGGAAAACAGAATTAAATCGATAAATGAATTATCATTCCTTTGGATGAAGTATGGATAATAATTAATAATAAAATTAATTAAAATTGTATTAAACCTTGACTAAAATAAAAGCAAAGAAAATTATTTCATTGCTTCCCAAGGAGTTGTGTTTATCAAGCAGTAGAAGAGAATAAAAATAAAAGGCAACTAAAGCTAGTCAGAAAGGTGGAATTTGTAAGCAAGATAAAGTTTAAAATATCAAAATCTGTACAGGCCAAAACAACAACCTTAATCAGAACATTTTTGGGTTTTTTTATATACATATTAGTGTATCTGTCTAAACTTGCTTAAAGAGAAACCAAAAATATGTATAATAAGCTTTTTACTTTGCTTTGCTATGGAAACTAGGCACATCTGATCTGACTCTGTGCCTTGCCTCAGATAATTTTTAACTTTCTGGATTAATTCACCTATAGAAAAAGAGAAAAAAAATAAGAGGTAGTTTCCTGCAGTTCATAGGAAATGGGTAAATAATGGTGCAGAACTCAACCACATGGGACTGAGAGGAGCACAAACCCCTCCTCTCATGGGAGCAGAGAGCTGGGACAGCCTTGGATGGGACTGACTGTGGCGCTGGCACATTGGGATGTCCCGTCTCCCCGGGCAATCAGCCGCGGGACCAGACCAGCATCACACAGTGTAACTCTGAGTCAAACTAATTCCCAAGGTAGTTCTTTAAGTCCCTCTTTTGTAATAAAATCCAGTTTTAAAGGCATACCTTGAGTAGAATATGCTAGAAAAAGGAAGAGAAAAATGCCTTCATAAAAGGACGTCAATATTCAGTCATTACTTCAGCTTTTCATTTCTCTTTCCTGCCTCTCATCTTTTCCTTATTTAGAGCTGCAATGCTTGCTGATGATGGTAGTAACAATGGTTTTCAAGCCTCTACACAACAGTAGGGACCTGCTGTTGATCAGTGTACCAACAGTACATAATAACTCAGTGCACTTTTCCCTCCAGCTGCCAGCACTTGTCCATTCCACGTTCACTTTACCTGAAGGAACGGAATGCTTCAAAAGCAACCCCACCTAGACTGCAGCAGCCAGGAAACACAAAGCAAACCCAAGGACTTCTTAACTGAAGGTATGATTCCTGTTTGGATAGGCAACACTGAAATAAAATTGCAGCCTTCCTTTAACTATGGCTGCTTGCTAACTCCCTCGTGAGTTAAAGTTTAGGCACTATGAAAGTAACAAAGTCTTTATTGTGATTGGAAAATGTTTTGTTATATGAACAAATGAATCACTTGTCCAGACCCAGGATCTTTTTTCTCTTCCTTCCGTTTAGTTGAAACATTAAAATATAACAGCAGGGAATTCAGGCAGGTTTCATTTCCCCCACCAACTGGAACAACCTGCATATACATGTAACATTTCTATTCAAAACCCCAAGTTCCAAGTGAGAAAATTAAAGATTTTCTAGCAAAAGTTAGATGCTCTTATTTTAACCTTTGTTCACATTCATACTTCCAGGCATGAAATGCTACTAAAGCACGTTACACTTGGCATCTCTTATTAGTGAAGCAGAAGGCAATGTAATCTTGTGAGAAAGTGTAATAATGTAGTATTCATTTTGCCTCTATGGCTGGAAGCCAACTCTATATTAATATTCCTTTCCAGTAATAGAGAGCCACAATATTTCATTTATTTTAAGAATTTACAATTAATTTGGTACGATTCTGTTATCTGTTCCCAATTTCCTTCCCTTTTTTCTTTTAGCAGAAAAAGCAGCTCTTGTATACACTTTAAAAAAGTAAATTCGTACCTGACGCATCAAAAGATTGCTACTGGCTACTAAATACAGGAAAAACAGGGACAGAACAAAATGAACTTGAAATATTACAGGTGACAACGAAAATTAGCTTTCTGCAAATGGCAAAAATTAAATCTGCACAAGTTCTCAGTTGACTTTTTCCTTCCCAAAATCAGCAGATAAAACACTCTTTGCAGCATGCTGTTTGCTACTGTAACCATGCCAGTAAAAGGAAGTTGGTTGTCTGCTTTTCCTTTCTGTTTCCAGATTTCTTCAACCACTATACAATATTAAACTGCAAGTAGTCTGGCAAGTCTTGGTAAAATGTACTAGATACAGGGAATTCAAAACAATTCCAGTAACTAAAATCCTTCTGTTTTAAAGCTTAAAAAAAAAAAAAAAGAAAAAACAAACATAAATAGATGCCTTTACTTCCTACACCTTTAGCTTCAACTAGCACAACCACTTTTGCAATGTAAGTGCATTTATAATTAACAGAAGTTATTACCTAGCCAGCTAATTTTAAGATTCATAATTCCACTCTCCTAATATGCATCTACCTTCCTTAACTGTGAAAGACACTGAAAAGCATTTTACCTGCCAGCTATTGAGACTTATTTTCCTATGAAAGTGAGATTCTACCCAAGTCCACAGACTCAATAGACACCAAGAGAGCAAACAGTACAGCAGCTACCAAATCAGAAATCCCATCAATGACAAAGCCACACAACAGCTGCAGGATGCCATGGGAAATGCCAGTTTTCTAATATATCCTGGCACTATTTAAGAAGAAAGAGGGGAGGGAGGGGAAACTGACTGTGAAAGCTATTTAAGTGAAATGAGACTTCCCCATGTTCAGAAATTTCCATGGAACTCCTAGAACGTACTCCCCAATTTGTGCATATATTCACAGATACATACGAGCAACCTAATTCAGCGAGCTTGTCTGTCAGTGCAACAGAAGATCCAAGACTAGGTCTATAATAAATGCTTAGGAAATCACACAGCGAACCTGAAAGACTGTATACAACATTTACATTTTTTTATCTTGGGTTTTGTAATTTTTGGGAACTAGATCATTTTGTTTGTATAGATTTGGGAAAGAAGAGAGGGGGAGGCAAAGCAGCTTTCTTGAAGAATCCCTGAATATTTAGCCTTAAAATTCAAAGAATTTTGACAGGATAAGGTATGCATTTGCTTTCAGAGATGGTGAGATCACGCCACAGATGCATCAAAGACTATATATTATATACCGATTCCAGAATAACATAAGAAGACATGCTACTTTATTACTAAATCAGTTTTTTCACCTGCAATCAAGTCTATCAAAATTATCACACCTAGAAAAAGCCTCAAGTTCTATACAAAATTTGTAATTAAAAATTAATAAACCATGTTTTTCTGATAATTTCTGTTTCTCTTTTACTAATTAAGAGGGTCACAAGAACAGCCAGGGAGAGAGACAAATTGGGTAAAATGGAGTTTATGAAAAAAAAAAAAAACAACCAAAAATAAAACAGATGAAGAACAGATTATACAACTTTTTTTAAAAAGCTTTTTTCTTCTTGTATTTTTAAAGAGCTATTTTAAACAACGTATTTGAAGTGGTGAAGCATTTTTCCTTTTCAAAAAGCAAAAATATTTTTAAGTAGATGCTATTCCTGTAAGCACTTTGAGTTTTATTTCCTGAAATTTAACTTGCATAGTTCTCATCTTAATGAAGTGTTTGCCATTTTATTTTCAGTCAGCCAAATTAGAAAAGTAAAACAGGTATTTCATTTGCACCACTTAGGTATATCACATTTAACATATGCTTCTAAATGGTTGCACAGTGAGAACAGAAAAAAGAAAGAAAAATAAACAGGAAGAGTCAAAAAATAAGGCACCTACTAATCAGGGATATTAATACTGTCACTTCAGTCATCTGAACACTGCATTTTAGTTTCAACATACCTCACAGTATCAAAATCAAAAAATGTTGTTTTTTTTTAAATTAAGATAATAATTTGAATCGTATAAATTAAACCTAGAACATGCTACTGATACTTTTCATTTGACATTCTAAAATTTCAATTCATCTAACAGAAAATAATTGTGTAGACCGTTCAATTCATCTGCAAACTCAAGTAAAAAATAAACTAAAGCTTACCTTCAGTACACTGCAGGAAGCTGATAATAAGCAGAAACCAAAAACTTTGCATTCTGCAGCCAGAAGACACCATTATTGATCCCTGTAAGAATTTTCTTTGTATTCCTTAATGAATCCAGTTATAAAAACCCAGCATCATCGAAACCAGTGGTCTGCATTATTCATCTTCATACCTGGAGAAGCAGAGGATTTGAAAGAAAAAGAAAAAAAAAAATCCATCAATAGCTGAACACCAATAATTTGGAATACTGAATTTTACTTGACATGAAGACAGAATTTTTTAATAAAAACTGACAGTACACTTGTACTGTAGCTGGGAATTTGGCAGGTTTGTGGGATGTAATCTCTCAAGGTCAGTGATCATTAAACAGAATGCCAAATAATGATACATGTTAAAGTTGAAAGTATGAATGTTATTGATGTATTTGCACTAAGACATGTGGGGGAAAAAAATGAAGATAATGTTTTTTCTGAATATAAGAAACTGGATTTGCAGATGACCAGGCTACTCCTCCTGCTTTCCAAATCTGACATAACTTGCATTTCTCTACCTCGAAGAACAACAATAAAAATTAAATCTAGGGCACTGACATGCTTCTTAGTGATTTGAAATGTGGAGTGGCCAAGAACAACTGACCAGCTCTGCTCAACAGTAAGGCTCTGCAGGCCCCCTCCTTGCCACAGCTCCAGGGTTCCCTTCATTCTAACACAGGTTGCTCTCATATGAGAAGAACTAACAGCAGCTTTGCTGACAAAACATTCTGTCTGGTGAGGAAGCCTCTTCATAGTACTCTACAGTTTGCTGTATTTCTACCCAGTAAACACCCTCAGAGACAACAGCATAAACCTAACAGATGAGACTCTCCTGTCCTTAAGGCTCTGATGAAATTTGCCTCTGAAAAATATGAACCAAACTGCTCCTGTAAACGATGTACCAAAGGAAGAATTCTTAAAGCTATCATTTGCATTTGAAAAATATAATTACGGCAATAGAGTGCAGTTGCTGTGATAGAAGATTCGACAGCAAAGTGCTCCCTTTTGCTAATGACTTCATTCTTTTACCAGCCAATTGAGTAACTATATACATCCTCTTCCATATCTCACTGTACAAGGCTAGATCATGCTTCGGCCCTGACTACCAGAGCTGGGAAAGCTACAGAAAAATCAACATCCATGTAAAAACCAATTATTTTTAACTACAAAGCTGGCTCTATATATTACAAATACGTGAAACAAATCTGGAAGAATGACTCTCTGAACATGACAGCAAATATAGATTGAAAGGGCTGACTCTGGTGCCACATTGGCTTGGTCTCTCCAACACCAATGTACAGGATTGGGTGGATCTATTCCTGAGATTTCTGAAATCAACATTACTTTAAAAACATGTAACAATGACTATGTAAAAATTTAAGTGGCAGCATTCAAGGGCCACTTACAAGTCTACAAGTACTGGAGCATGTTGAAGGCTTTAAAAATACATCTACCCTTTTGACAAGGAGAACTGGAAAGGATGAAGAGCATACAACAACCAAAGAAATTCTATGAACTGTAGATAATTTTCAGAAGTGTAAAATGCAACTCCTTTTGTATTAGCCAATGTTAATATTAATCAATGATAAGTTTGTTCCCTAAGCACACCAAGAGCAACCAGACTGACACTCACTTTTTTTCCCTAAGGAAAGATGGAAATTAACAGAAAACATGATGGAACAATTTCTCTGGCTCTCAATAAAGGCAGTGTGACTGTGGCAAAAGAGGAGATTATTAAATGGCCAAGTAGGCTTCTTTACTTGGCTCCTGCTTAAGGGGAATGATGCCACTTCAGTGCAGGCATCCCTCTCCCACAACACAAGCATGTTTGTGATTTCTCACACAGGGAAATGAAAGAGAATCGACATCTGAGGGTGCCTGATTTTACGTTTATTTATACATAAAATCAAACTCTTTTTCCAATTTCCAACTACAGACAGGTGCTCTTCAATCACAGGCACTTTTATCCACACATATTTCAGCAAAGAGCATGCAATAGCAAACGGAGTGCTTCAGTGCAGGACAGCCAGAGCCTGGCTCTCCCTGGCACATACCCATGTGCCTAGAGGTAAAAGATGTGCCCTCAATTTAGATGGTGACACACCAGCTGCTACAGGACAATCCCGAAGCAGTTACAAAGACAGTCATATTGTATCTCTAGGTCCTTCACACTGGTCTGAGAGCGTTTTGCACCTAAATATATATATATGTATATATATATATGAATCTACAAATCCGTAAAGGGTGCACTGCATTCATCAGGAATTACAATTGCAAAGGAGTTCCTACGGAATCAAGAAAGAATTGCCATCATTTTATATATATATTTATATATTTTTTTTATATATTTATATATATATATAAAACAAACCCTGGAGATAGTTCAGCTAAAAGCTTGGAAAGAGCTTGGATTAATTTTTTACCTGCAGCACCCAGAGGAAAAATCATTAAACTATTTCATAGGCTCTACAGACTAATTGGTATAATTTCAGTAACCAATCAGAATAATCCAAGAGAACAGATGAGGAACAATAATGGCTAAAAGAGAAATTAAGTCAGCCTTCTGATTACTGTCCAGAGGATACTGACTTCCTGAGACTCAACTTTTATCATTATATCTGTAACATTTCATTGCACATCCAGATTCTGATACAACTCCCTTCACCTTCAAGTAAATAGTGCCATATTGGTGCTTTATCGTTCTTAAACCCATTGCCTCCTCGTGGCCTTTTTTTCAGTTGGAGGGGGCAAAGGGTTGTGTTGAAAACAAAGACAATAATCAGAGCACTACTTGCAGTACCAAACCTCTCTAGGAAATAGCTGCAAAATTTATGGCAGAGATTTTTTCTTTTTTAAATCAAGTAGGAGTTCCTGAACTTGTAAACTGACTTATTTTACTGTTTTGATAAGAAACCAGTTTCTGATAGGATATTAATGTTTTTGCAATACCAAAACCAACAGAAACTATTCAACAAATAAACACAAAATATTTTAAGAACAAATTCAAGGGCTTCGTGCAAAATATTCTTCTCTTTATATTACTGTAGTCTACAGGCATAGAATTTAACTCAGTGTGCCGATGCAAAAAAATATTCAAAATAAACTAAGCACCCCCTACCAAATTATCAGTAACACGTTTTTAAGCAGTGTTTGAAAACTGATGCAATACAGTTTGGGTTTGCTTTTTTCTTTTTTTCCGAATAAAAATTACAACAATTGTTAATGCAACCTATATATTTGAGAAACTCTGGGGCTCCGAGTAAAAGTACACTCTGAACAATAATACTTGTTAAAGTTGAAAGTACAAACATTATTACTTGCACAGTTCTGAGCAAACTATTCATTAGCATAACAAAAGCTAATCCTGAAAAACGTACCCAGACATGAGCTGGAGCCAGAGAGCACTTGCTACAGACACTGCTGTCAGCCGCGTCCTTCTGAACATTCATCTATCAGTGATACGGAGACTATCAGTGGCATCTCACAACAACAACAAATCCCAAACCAAACAAGTAGGACCAGGAAAAGACATATTACATTACTTCTTTGTAAACAGAAAAAGGAGACCATGGTGAGTGGCTGTCCTGCACAAATAACTTATTTCCTCTCAGACCTTAATAAAGCTTTTCTCTGCATCACTTACTGCTTGGGCTTGTGGGTGGGGCAGAGAGAAACTCCCTAGAGCAAAAGGGTTGCTTGAATTTTGGAGTGCAATAAAAGCTGCCCAGAAAATTTCAGTTGTAACTTAAATCCCTACCTCTGGGCCACACTGCAGTCTCTCATACAAAAAAAGAAACAACCAAAACCCACCACCAAACCTCCACTAGAAACAGAGTGGTTCACGTTGTTAGGTTTCTTTGCATACGTGCTGTTAAAGACAACTAGATCAGTAATGGAAATGTAGTTAAAACCTGTACACTGCAAAGATACTGTGTATCTCTTCATACTGTATTCATAAGCTGTGCTTCAAGTTCTCAGTATCTTAATGCCCCTGCCTTGCTGCCTTGTCCTTCTGTAGTTCTGAAACTTCTTACAGATGGAACGCAACCACTTCAGAATACGTGCCACTGCTGGCCATCCCCCTTCCCCCAACACTGCTCAAGAGTACCCCAGAGATAAGAGAAAGCTGCTCCAAGCATGCTCCTTGAAATACTTTCATCTTTGAAGAGAAAGATCTCTAAAGACACTGTTGCATCCCAATTCTACTCTGCTTAACCTTCTCAAGGTTTTATTTTCAAAAGCCAAAAAAGGGTCTTTTAAGAGCTTCCAGACAACTGACACAGCATGCTCAAGAGGTGCCTTTTTCCTGTTCCACCTAGCTTTTCAGTCAATTAAGACAGACAGGAACACAGAGATCTTTCAAGCTAAGAAGGGTGTTTTTCTTTAGCTGAAAACCTTTCAGACTAACACTGTATTATGTATTTTACAATGCAGTGCCTAATTTTCAAAATCATCTTGGAAACATGATGAAGCACTTAGAACCACAGTCAAGCTTTATCATCTCTAGTACAGAAATAAAATGTACACTAGCTTTAAAGATGATGAAGCACAGAAGTAAGGAAAATCAGCCAGAGCTGCACACCTTATATATGTGCCGAGGAACTAGCAGGACCCAGGAAATCCTTCTTACAAGTCCTGTACGACCTACCTTGCCACACATGCAGCACCCCCACTGCCTCTTTCAGAACTCAGTTTATGAAATTAAGTAATTCTGTAATATATTTGAGATGCTCTGCAGAGGAAAGGAGGGGGAAGAGGAGGCAAGGGTGAGTAGATATGTATTCATACACTATAATAGACTATTTGGTCTCCTGAGAAATCATGTGTCCACGTGCTCTCCTATCATGAAGCTTTCCCAATTAAAAAAAAACCTTCCTATAATCTGTAACGTAAGAATTTAATTAGTGCAGCGTGATTAGTAAAACAGTCTAAGTCACATTAGCAAAATAGTAGAATGAGACTAATACCATTTATGATCCAAGAGCTACAGTTTTATACTTATCTGCAATGAGACCCTATTCTAGTTTTCAACATTGAACA